AGAATTAAAAAAATACTCAATATTTTTTTTTTATTACATTTCTTCATAAATTTAGGCCAAACGGTATTCATGGTACATGTCTTTGGTAAAAAAAATTCCAATAACTGTATATTAATTGGTTTGCATGAACATTATAGCATCAATAAACTATGGTATAAATACTGGAATTTTTTTTTTTTTACATTAGTAATAATGGCAATCAGTGACTTATAGTGGGACTGTGATAGTACGGAAGGCAATCTGACACTAACTGACACTGGGTGGAAACTGACTAACTGCCACTGACATCTCCAGTGACACTAATACAGTAATCAGTGCTAATAATATACACTGACACTGTACTAATGCCACTGGGCAGAAAGGGGTTATCATCTGGGGCGATCAAAGGGTTAGCTGTGTGCCAATGAGTGTTTTTACTGTGTTCTGTGTGCTGTTTTACCAGGGGATGTGCTGGTTTTGATTTCCTGATAAAAACCGGCATATCCCCGCAGACAGAAGAGAGATATCTCTCATGTCAGTTGCTCCTCCTGAATCAATGACATAGGCGGATGCGCACGTACGCGTGTGCCCCCAACCCATAATATACTGTGTATATATATATATATATATATATATATATATATATAAATACGTGATTCTGCACAGAGCAGCCACCCTGTGTGATGGCTATTTCGGGCAATAATAATTTTCACCTTCTTGAGCCTATAATAATTTTAAATATTATTAGGAACTTCTGATAGGGGTCTCAATTTCTGTAACTTATTTACCATCTGTTGCATCACCTCAACACTCCCCTTAGAGGTTTCCTGTAGAGGCCCTGCATCTGTCATTTCTAACACCTCCTAGGGAGTAACTGGCTTCAAAGGAGGTATGCTTCCTGGACATTGGCCCATCCTAAATTCCATCTGATGAACTACAGTTGGCCAATGTCTTTCACAAATCACAGAACCCCCCTTTGAACAGAACTGGCAAAGTACAGGAACCTATTGAAGGATGGGACTACCTAAGGGAGGGAGTATAAAGGTCTGCCTCTATGTCTCTTTGCCTCTTCCAGAGCCCAGAACCTCAGAACATCGATTAGTTAGTACTTTTCTTCTGTGTAAATAAATTAGATCTTTATTTTTTGCCCAGTTGTTATCCTTTGCTATTAACATAATAGGTAATAGCCACATGAGGATTGGCTAAATTCATGTATAGACAAAAGTTTGTAATCACTTATTACATTTATAATCATAGATAGAACCAGGGGAATAAGTGCGGTAGAAAAACCGTCAAAACACCTGTAGCAGTAAAGCTGCAATGGACTGGTCTGCAACTGGTTGATAAACCAACCCAATCACTGGAATTTTAACAATCATAATTTGCAATTACCATATACAAGTACAAATAAAACTGTGCAGACCATAAAAAAAGAGTCCGCTATGAAAAAGTTCAATTTATTCCAAAAGAGTGAGTTCTTGGAAATGGAGTGGCATATAATTCATGCAATTGATGGAAGACATTGAGAAATAATTAAATAAAGCCCATTTTGCTCTGCTCACTTAATTTGTACTTGTATACTGTATATAGTGATAACAAATTATTATTGTTACAATTCCAATGTATAATTTGTAGTAATCATTGTTTGATGGTTTTTCCACATAATTAGCATGTATTGAGTTTGAGAACAGCACTGGTTTGAGAAGCACTGATCTATATACTTATAGAGAAAGTTCACAATAGCTGTCCTTTAAACTGGCATGTTGCCATAATAGTGAAAGTTTAAACAAAGAACACATAGGTGATAAATGTCAATAGCCTAAAAATACACTAACAACAAAATGTATTTACTGAGAGCACTTAGGTGATGCCAGTGCCATTCAAGTTCTGCCTATGAAAGACATATTGGGGAAGACTCTTCAAATACACACAGTGTGCTTTGGAGCCTGGTTCTTTTTAGTCACTGCTGGAAGCTCCAGTGATGTAAGAAGTCATATGACCTGGAACCCAGAAACAAAGATCTTGGAAGATCTTTGTTGATGAGGTACAAAATGACTATATTATTTCAATACAATGAGTACTTCATTACAGTGCCGTGGCTGAAGTGGTATCACTGTTTCTCATTAACAGAGCCCAGGCTAGCAGGGGGGCCCAGGCAGATAGATGAATCAGATGAGAGCGATCAGCATGACGGGAGGGCAATTACTGTAACCAATCCCCTGTATGACTCTCTTTGCAGCAGCTGAAAGCTAGCTTATTCTCCTCTCCCTCCCTCTGGGTTTTAGCTGCTGCAAGGAGAGTCATACAAGGGATCAGTTGCAGTAATTCCCCCCCCCCCCCCCGCAGCACCCGTCACCCTCCCTGTGCATCATACATTTCCACCTGCTACTCAGGCCCCCCTGTCTGCCCCCACGCCCACGGTGCTGCCAGTTTCCCTCCTCTCCTTCCCACCTGCAGCAGCAAACACACAATAGGATCCCTCAGGATGTAGAGTGAGTGAAGGGTTTGGTAAATATGCCACATTTACTAGCCCCTTTCTTTTCTGAATGAACAGAATGAGTGATCAATACCGATCACTCACTGTGTTCGCTCATAACTGTGTTTTTTTGTTTTTTTTTTTTGGGGGGGGGGGGCTGTCAGGTTGGCCGTATGGGGTCCCATGATTTCTAACAGTAGCAGTGCTTTATTACTAATAATGGACTGTATGTCTGAGTCGAATGAAAGTTTGACTCAAACATGGACCGTTCGTGTGTTTGGCCGTGCCCCACAATGCACTGTGCCCAGACAGTGCATTATGATTGGCCATGGCAATGCACCTGACCATACCATTGCACCTGATTTTTTTTTCTCACTTATTTGCACCCTATTTAAGAACTGTCATTTTCACCCTATTTAACAACTGTCAATGCACCCTATTTAACACCTGTAATCGTGGCGCAGCTGTCAGATAGCCGTGAGCCAGCATCAAAGGCGGATTTTTTTTTTTCGGGTCAGCGGTGGCGGCGGGCATTGTGATTGTCTTTGGATCTACTTCAGGGGACTTTTTTTTATTTTTAATAAAGGAGTTGTCAAAGACTGTTTCCTGTCTCTTTTCATACTACCCTTTTTTCGTGAATGGGTAGCAGTACCATGTGCCACATACTCATTCACATGTGGGGGGGTTGGGATCTGGAGACCCTTGTTAAAGGGGGCTTATAGATTCCGATAATCCCCCCACCCGCAGACTTCCACAACCACCGGCCAGGGTTGTGGGGAAGAGGCTCTTTTACCCGTTAACATGGGGACAAGGTGCTTTGGGTGGGGAACTCCCCCCGCCAAAAGCACCCCCCCATGTTGAGGGCATGTGGCATGGTATGGTTCAGGTGGGTGTTTGTTCATTCCCCCACTTTCCTGACCTGCCGGGCTGAATACTCAGATAAGGGTCTGGTATGCATTTTGGGGGGAGACCTCCATGCCAAAATTTAAAAAAAATGGCATGGGGGACCCAAAGGGCTTGATATGGATGGGAGGATCCTATGCCCCCTTTTTTTTTAATTGTTGGGCAATGCTGACATCTTGGGAACCCCAGATGCGGTAAGATACCGCTCAGTAAATTGTCCTTGTTCAAAGTTCGAGGTCGAAATTTCAGTAGGTTTGAATGTTCGACTGTGAACTGAACAGGGGGGTGTTCAGGCCATCACTATTTATTACAGCAACTCAAAGCTGAGAAGCTAGATGGAAAAGAATTAAAACAAGCCGGACACAACATAAATTTTTTTTTCCGCTTATTTTCAAAGAATGTACATTTTAAGACCGCACTGAGCATGTTAAGAAATTTGACTGAGACGACTACTGATCTGCTTTCATTTATGACATCCAGGCTTGGGTGGCAGTCTGGCAAATTTGTAATTTGGCATACAGGTTAAAATGTCTGAAATAATGACTCGAGTAGAACTGAGAGAGCAGAGTGATATTGAATATCAAAACCACACACGTTAAAACATCATAAATAATATACTGTGACACAAATTGTTTTTGTTGGAGTATTATGGCTACAGCTTTTAAAGATAATAACAATAATATAATTTAGACACCATGTCTTCAAAAACATACAAGAATTCTAATACAACCATTAAAGCCTATGATAGTGCCACCTACTGTCATGTTTTGTTGTCATCCTATACTGGCCACAAGCCCTTTACAACCAACTTGGTGGGCACACACCAGTCATTTTACACTATTATTCACCTGGAATAAACTTTAGTAGTTACTTCCTTCATGAACACCACAATTATACAAATGTGTGACCATTAGGCTCCTTTTACATGGGGCAGCTTCTGTGAGCTGATTCCCTGCTGATCAGAGCAGTGCGGCTGAGTGACACATCCATGCCTGCTTAACCACTTGCCTACCAGGCACTTATACCCCCTTATTTACCAGGCCAATTTTCAGCTTTCAGCGCTGCCGCACTTTGATTGACAATTGCGCGGTCATGCAACATTGTACCCATATGAAATTTTGATCATTTTTTTCTCACAAACAGAGCTTTCTTTTGGTGGTATTTAATCGCCGCTGGGAGCTTTACTTTTTGCGCTATAAATAAAAAAAGTGCAAAAAATTTGAAAAAAAAAATAAGTTTCTTTGTTTCTATTATAAAATTTTTCAAACAGGTATTTTTTCTCCTTCACTGATGTACGTTGATGAGGCAGCACTGATGGGCACTGATAAGCGGCACTGATGGGCACTGATAGGCAGCACTAAAGGGCACTGATAGGCATTACTAATGAGGTGGCACGGATAGGCGGCACTGATAGACAGCACTAATGAGGTGTCACGGATAGGCGGCACTAATATGCAGCACTGATAGGCGGCACTGATAGGTGACACTGATGATGGGTACTGATAGACGGCACTGACTGGCATCACTGCTGGGCACTGACTGGCGGCACTGACTGGCACAACCCCTGGGCACTGACTGGTGGCACTGACTGGCAGCACTGCTGGGCTGCACTGGTGGATGGCACTGGTGGGCAGCACTGGTGGTGAGCACAGGTGGGTGGCACTGGTGGGCACAGGTGGGTGGCACTGGTGGGCACAGGTGGGTGGGCACAGGTGGGTGGCACTGCTGGGCACAGGTAGGTGGCACTTCTGGGCACAGGTGTGTGACACTGCAGAGTGGCACAGGTGGGTGCACTGCTGGGCACAGGTGGGTGCACTGCTGGGCACAGGTGGGTGATCTGTTGGGCACAGGTGGGCGGAGCTAGTGGGCGTACTGGGCACAGGTGGGCGGAACTTGCGGGTGGCACTGCTGGGCACCGATCATCAGGGCACTGATCATCAGTGCCCTGATGATCGGTGCCGATCCCCGCTCTGACAACTGCCGGTTCTCGGCAGTACTTTCCTCACGATCTGACAGCGTGAGGAAAGTGCAGCCGAGAACCGGCACTTGCATTTCCCTCTGATCAGCGTGTCATTGGACACCGCTGATCACGTGGTAAAAGGCCGCTCTGATCGGCCTTTTACCACATCACGTGATCAGCTGTGTCCGTAGGACACAGCGATCACGGAGATCGCTGGGTGTGTGCCCCCTGGGGCGCACAGGAGAGCGCGTTCTGGGAGGCCGTCATATGACGTCCACCCAGAACTGGCCGGCCACAGTGCAGCCATCATTCGGCTATCTGCGGTCGGCAACTAGTTAATTTCTGCAGACCAGACACAGAGCCTGCTTTGCTCTATGAGAGGCCAGAAGTAAACGTATTCTGCTGCTCGTTTACACTCTGCTACCTCTGATCTGCTCTGCCTTTTTTAAGCAGATCCTGATAAGACCCGGAGGTATGCGGGTGTAAACAGAGACAACTCTGTTTACACCCACCTGTCCATAGGAATGCACACCTGAAAAATTGACAGGTGGAGCTAATTGGAACACTCCTGTGAAAGGGGCCTTAAGGTTAATCCACCTGTCCTAGCATTACCAATGATCTTGCTTTTTTGGCTTCTTCAAGGACCCACCAATGCTGTGACAAAGTACAACATGCCCCCCATTAAGTCCTCTATCTTCTTCCCATACCTTGATTTCCCAAACATTTGCATTTCTAAACTTTGCCATATAGCCACAATTTTATCAAGAGGTCCTGTGGCTGGTCCAAATTGCTCACCTCTCTGTCTGTTCCTCCTCGAGGTTTCTTTAAGTTATAATCACTTCCTCCCTACATCATAACCTTTAATTATTTTCCACCCATTCTTAACCCTTCTTCTGACTTCCAGCTCAGCTTGTCACATGTCGTTTCTCCTATGTGCTCAGGGCAGCCCTTAGTGGGCTTGTGCTAGTAGTTTAAAACCAGTGCAGTTGACTTCATTATGTGTGCATTGATGGAGGTACCACTGCATAAACTCTTTTACTACTATGAGCTTAATAAAGTATGGTTTTATATAACCCTCACTGAAATAGAGGGATCTGTACCCCAAAAGTTCTTGGAAAAGCGGGGAATGGAACTTGGAACAAAATTGAGTGAGCAACAAAAAAGTAAAATATTTGGGGCAGTGAATATGAATATAGTGGACATGAATTATAAATGTTGGTAAGATGGTATATTACACCTAATGTGATGCATAAAGTATGGCCAGAGTTCTCATCCCAGTGCTGGAGGGGATGTGGGAGAAAGGGTAAGATGGCACATATCTGGTGGGAATGTCCCACAATTCAGGAGTTTTGGAGGGAGATATATACAAGACATCTAGAGAATTAGTGTACAGATGGACCCGGGGGTTTTCCTTTTTTATAAATCAGAGCTTTTGCACTATAGAAATATGATATTGTTCCACCTTTTAAATGCAGCCAAAAGCCTTATTCCTAAATATTGGCAAGCAACAGAATCCCCAAAAATAAAATATTGGATGGAAAAAGTTGAGTTTATATATACTGTATATATATATATATATATATATATATATATGAAGAATTGTGCCATATAGATGAGGATGAAATGGGAAAATTTAAGAGGGCTTGGGAAGAATGGTGTATTTTCAGAAAACCAAAGAGACATTTAGAAGTGGTTGGAGTGCAGGGGAATAAAGAAAGTAAATAAGAAGCTGGAAATACAGAATAGAAAGGGGGAAAGATAAGGAGAGGAAATGGTAAGATGGATGAAGATCAAGAAGTAAATTGAAAGATGAAGAGGACAAGGGGAGGAGGGTAGTTGGGGAAGGGGGAAGGGGTGTAAATACTGGGAATAGGAGAGGTAAATTGGTATAGATTTTTGTATGACATGATGTTGGCTTGAAATGGATATTGTATGGAAAAAAATTTCATAAAGATATTATAAAATAAATAAATAAAGTATGGTTTTATTCATATACATAAGCTAGTTTATGTAGCCTGTGTTTTACATCTCAGTCTAACACTGGTGAGTAATAACATTGCTGCTTTTAAATATTATTTATATTATATATAGGAATTGTCTGTTGTATGTTATCGTCTCAATATTCTACAGCAGCTTTTATATTGAACTCTTAATATTTTGATTTCTCTATGCAGTGCACAACTATTGTAACTGGTAATATTTCGTGAATGAAAAATTGCTAGTATTGTGAACATACCTTTTCATAGACATAAATAACATTTTTACTGAACATGTGTGAAAAAATCATGAATGCCATAAAATAATGCTATAAATGTTAAGTAAAAAATTTGATTTATGTGCATAAATAGTACAGTCATTGTAACCTCTACCTCGATGATGAAAAGCATAAGAAACTAAACATGACAACAGAGTCAGAACTGGTAAAAAGCTGTCACTGTTTTCTTTTCTTTAAAATATGTCGTAATTGCATTCTTTGAGCAAAATAATTTTTGTGACTTTCATTGCTTATCTTGTGCTGACCTTGTGTTTCAATATACATGGCTAACAAGGCTTTAAAAACTTAAATGGACATTATAAAATGCTCAGCAAATTAAAGGCATGTGCAATTTGTATTCAGTTTTTTAGGGCTAAACAGAAACAGGTTTCTGTTCATGAAAGATGATGGTACTTATTTGTGCAACCTTTGCCTGATACATATTATGCCTGTGCAATTTAACTGTATTTTTTTTTTCTTGCAATAGGTATGGGCAAAAGATGCCAACCAACAAAGTAAATACAGCCATTTAAATTTTGAGTGTATTATGGCCAGCCCTGCCTAATATACTGTAAGTTTCAGTTGCTTAAAGCATTTCTTAAGCTAAAAATAAATAAAGAAGTAAATTAATTAATTAACAGCACATTCTAAGAAAATAAAAATAAAGCTTTGCTGCAATACTTACCTTCACAGGAATTGCTTTCCACCACTACATGCTCATCTTAAATGATAGCCAGGGTCAGCTCCTCTAAGCTCAGGCAGTCGTTGACATACCCCTAGCAGTGTGTTATCGTGGACGTTTGGGCACACAATACTACTGCACCAAGAGACACCCACAAATCATTGCACAAATATCATTTAGTACAGCAGCAAGAACCACCTACCATTGAAGAAGGGAAGGAACCAGTGACCTCATTGGACCAGAGTTTTTTTTAAATGGGGATCAATTTTTAATCCTTAACACCAAAAGTCAAGTTTAAAATGCAAATATGTGAAGAACTGCAAAGTAATGTTGATGAAGTCTATCAGCCTAGGCAGGGTTTCACAGTTGTAAGGTATTAAACTTTAATCAAACCAGAGCTTGACTGGAAAACATAGTTAATGCTCATTTAAAGACGAATATTAAGAAAAAATGAATACATGGTGTTAAAAATGAAAAATAAAGGAATGCTCCATATTTGTAAAAAATGTATTTACCATATATTATTTGCTGAAGAAGTCTTTTAAAAATCCGTAATTATAAATACCCAAGCAGAGTATTAAGTTATTTACAAAACAACTTTATTGTGTATAATCAACAAGATCATTTGAAGAACATTGCTCTAGCAAAGAGGACATACACACATCAGTATATTATACATAGTTGCATTTGTCCAATGTAACTATGGATATACCATACTTGGCCAATGACCCTGGAAGATGGAACTCACTGAAGTAGACACTGCTACTCTAGAGATCTCCACTAGCTTCTGGGTCCAGTGCAGAGTGGCCACACTTCTGCATTGTGAATACAGGAGGTGTGCCACTTGGCATGGGCACCATTAAGAAAATGCTTTGCATTTTCTGAATTATATAAAGTGGTTTCTCATTGGACAAGGTAGAGAGGTGGGGCGATGACCCAAGAAACTCTCCAGCGTCAACAGAGAACATAGTAAAAATGATTTTTGTTAGTTGTCTTTTTCCCTGTTGCAAATTTTCTACCAACTCTATTGTAAATGTATTCCAAAACTTCATTAAAGAGATTTCCTCTGACTTTCTGTTCCGGTGACACAGTTTTACAAGAATAGAAAGGGTGTGTTGTTGTCTACTGTGCTATCTTTTGTGGCTGTACATAAGCCATTAGGGTATAAAACATTAATTAAAATAGTAGAGGCTTTGCAGTGGAAAGAAAACTGTAATAGAGCATGTTCATGTAATGTTTTTAATAAATTATAATGCAACTGTAGTAGTATTGAAGCATCAAACATGTGCATTACCATTTTGTACAACAGTTGTACTTCAACATGATTATACGATTAGAGTATGCACAGCTTCACTTAGTTCACTAAGCAAATTGAAAATTACTCGGCACAATGGACAAACTCTTTCCCTGTTATCCATCCCTAGAGAATGGCCATCACTTTCTGCCTTTGAGAACATGTTTGATCTGACATTGATGGCCATTTTACATGGATGATCTGATCATGTCTGTCTTTCAGTTTTTCAGGCAGACCTGATTGGATGGCCCATGTGTTCCTATGGACCTGCGGGTGTAAACAGATATGCATCACTTTACACTCACTTACGTTTGGGTCCGATCAGGCCTGCAAAAAAAAAAATGGAGGAGGACTGCGTCCTCTTCTTTTTAATGGACCAGATAAGAAGCAGCTGGGTTTAAATTGACAGCGGAGTTCATTTACTCCTGGCCACTCACAGAGCAAAGCAGGGTCTGGCTTGTGTGATGAATCACATTTTGTTTTACATCATGAGGATGTGTGTTGTGTACCTGAGGAATGGATGGTACTAAGATGCACTATGGGAAGAAGGCAATCTGGAGGAGGCAGTATGATACATTGGGCAATGTTATACTGGGATACCTTGGTCCTGATTTCATGTGAATGTTACTTTTACACATACCACTTACCTAAACATTATTACTGACCAAGGACACCCCTTCATTAAACTGTATTCCATGGAGTGGCTTCTTTCTGCAGGACAATGCCCCCTTCCACACTGCAAAAATTTAAGGAACACAACAACGAGTTAGGGGTATTTGGTCTCAAAATTGCCCAAATTTCAATCCATCGAGCATCTGTTGGATGTGCTGGAAAAACAAGCCCTATCCATGAAGGCCCCTCTTCACTTACAGGACTTGAAGGATATGTTACTGGCAGCTTGGTGCCA